TGGCATACCCTAGGACAGACACATGTAGAACTGAACAATGTACAGAATGGTCTGGTCCATAAGAAGTATTGTCATGTTGCGTATCCTAGGACAGTTCGCATTGTTTCAACAACCTGAAACATACAAAGTACACGTACATTGTTTTGAGAAACATACAGTTTGTCTCTATACATAGTCAGTAACTGGAGATTGTAACACGTTTTGCTACATGTACAGTGTGTAATAGGATTGTATTTCTGGTTTTTTGGAAAGAAAAATGCTATTTTTTAAATATTATGGGAAACACCCAGACACTTCATCAAAATACATGTACCTTGCGGGTTCTATTGTGTTACCAATATTCTTAATTATCTTAATTTCTTAAATGAATCAAAACTGTTAAGTACATGCACATATATTAACCGTATCTCTGGAATTCATTACAGAATTTAAAAGATGAAGGAAACTGATTTTGCACTGCCATCATGTTTTGTGTGAATTATTAGGATTTCTTTTTTTGTAGTACACAACTAGTAAGAAGAATGCACACACAAATCTTCAAGTCTGAGACAATTGTGGGCATTTGTTCTTTTTCAGAGTCTAAATGTGATGAATTCGACAAAAAGTGACAAGAAGTTGTGATTACATGTATATGATTAAGTACCATAACGGTCCCTTTTCCAGTTATTCTAAAATACATGTACATGTAGTTCCAATTCTGATATAGATTCCAGTACACATGTATTACGAGATTAGAAATGTCGGTTATTATGCAGTGACACCAAAACCAGTAACAAAATGTTTTTAATAAAGTGAGTTTTAAATCAAATTGAGTCATTGCTCTATTGATCACAAAGGAGCTTGATCAAAAACAAAATGAGACTGCTTTTCACACATATTCAGACATTAGAGCAAGGTAAAATACCGGCATTTTGTACCTACGCGTACATGTAGCATGTATTGTAATATGATATACATATACAGTACATGCCGTTGATGGCATTTTTTCACTCACTGGTTATTAGGTACATGTACATGTATATGTATCATGAGTTTCTTGTAAACAAATTCCTGTTAACTCTAGTTTTGCCAAATCGTACAGCTGGTTTGAAACCTGGTGTGCGCTTTACCCATGGTACATACAGTACATGTACCTGTATCTCTGAAGGAATTGTGTTCTCTGCAGGTACATACATGTCGGCACTACACTGCATGCGTTTCACCTGGGCTCAGACAGTATTTAAGGTGGTTTGTGATTAACAAAATTACCTGATTTAAATTTCTTAGTTTAATATCGAAATTTGTTGAATTTTGTAACCAAAGTAATAAAAAAAATTAATACTGTACATGTACATACATCTGTACATGTAGGCAGCTAATTTGCCTGCTTTGGAATAGATACATGTAGATGTAATCAAGCTGACATGTCTCCAATTTTTAAAAAAAGAAAAAACAAAGCTGATTTCTGAATGAAAAGAGGAGCTGTGTTGCGATTGGTCGAGCTGTCAGGCAGCTGACAGTGACTGAGAGTACATGCTGCCAAGTGTGGTTGGGCAAAATATTCAAGAATTTCTCTACTTTAAAGAGGACATTTCATTTTAAAGTGAATAAACCTCCCCATCAGACATCTAACTCCATCAAGAAGGCATGTACATGTATGAAATTTTGTTGCAAAGCTGTGATCGGTGATGGCAGAGTAAGTTAGCACAATCAAAACGGCCAAAAAGATAAATTTTGGGGAAAGAAGTACCTAATGATCAGTTTGTAATTTATAAACACAGAATTTCGATAAATCCCATTAAAATTTATACTCTCAGAGGGAGTAAGAATGGTTGTACACATGGCTGTGACCTAGTGCACATGCGCAATGGCATAATAACCGAGCATGGCCCATAAAGGCTCCCACAGTAAATTTGCCATTCCCTCTCTGCGCCTTACTCCCCTATCATCAAACATTACTTTTGGAAAAATATCCCGCTAATTTTGTATTTAATAACAAAACAGTAATAGAAAATGAATCTAAGTACCTGGTTTGACTTTATGCAGGACCAAACTGTCGATCTACGAGTGATACCAGCCACAAACATGTTCGAAAGTTCAAGGTGCAAATCGCCCATCGTGTCATTCGCGCAAGCAGGCATTGCTGCCATGCCGCCACATGCACAGACAGTCAAAATTTATACCAATGCAACGAAATATAATTGAATTATGCGAGGTGATATTGAACAGATACAAAAGAATGTTGTAAAATATGAACTAAAGATTTAAAAAAAATACTAAGCACATTTCGGGTTTTTGAAAGAATTCGGTTATATGTCAGTCGAAAGTCTAAGGTCAGCGAAGATCGTAGATCTATCATACGTTGCCAAAAACAGAAGGTAAAATGCCAAATACTTCACCTGTAACATCAAACTAGGGAACATCCACTTTCCAAAAAGGTAAGTTTTTGTGAGATAGGAAGACGATATCATTTCAGGAGCGCAATGAAAAGATCGGAACATGTTGCATTTCAGCGGCAAGATTCAAGTACCCAACGTGTATAAGGGCAAAACCCGCTATTATAAATTAACATCTCCCCAATGCAAAAATACATCTTGAAAAAAAGATTCAAGTAGCCGCGAGTCCAAAAAGGTGATTTTGATGCTGTCCACGGGCAAATGCATTAAACCCCACTTTCCAGTTTCTATGTCATGTTTGTAAAGATACTTCTTTTTCTTTTCCATGTATTTGAAAGACAAAGGATGAAATAAATTACATGTTGATTTTAGAGGGTCTACACAGTGATCATTCCTATTTTTTAGAGGCATGAAGTACATGTACATGTAGGCCTAGGTCATGTAGGTGTAGTACCAATACCGGCCGCAAGGGCCGCTCCTGGAATATCGGTCCCTATTGTTGTCATTCCTACTACTAGTACTAGTCATGACAGGAACGTTTCTATAGGGAAATCCAAAAGCAAGAGGAACAGGAATGAAAAGGGGAGACAAATTTCGGAATTGTTGTGTCTCCAACTGGATAGGTGCTAGTACTAGTAGTACTACTACTAACCATGCTAACGTAACAGAAACAGTAACACAACACTGACAGGTTTTTGAAGACGAAATGTTCAAACAATTTTAGACACAAATTTGATCTAGTTCCTCATCAACAATACGCCTAAGTTATATACTTATTACTTTCGCACGAAATGAAAATGAAAAATTTCCGAACAAAAATCTGAGAAAGAAAAGCAAGGGAGGTAGAACTTACCAGAAGTGACTTCGTTGAGTAAAAAAATAAAAATACCGCCATGGGCCAGACTAACAATTAGTACAGTGTCAATACGACACGGGCAGTCTGGGTACTACGCTGATAGCCTTGATAAAAGCGCCATCCTTTGACGATACAGGGTGCAGACCACTAATTCAAGTGAGAGTTTTAGTCTGGCCAGCTTATTAGCATTAAAAGTGCCCCCCACAGTATCTTTTCAAAAAGGAGATTGTTTAGCTTTCAAAATGGTGAGATTGTGTAAATCAGTGCCAGGATCAACTCTCTGGGTCTTTGAGCTTTCATATGAGAGCAAAATGGCTAAAAACTACGGTTGGAAAATGGTCCTAAGTGCCCCAGACTTCGGAAAAAAAACTTTTCGGGGGTGATTTTGTTTTGTGGGAATAGTTAAAAATGTAATTGGATAACCCACAAAAGAAATTGAAAGAAACTAAAAAATTAGTGACCAGACAATAATTTCATTTGTTTTTCAGAAATCTCAGGGATGTTGGCATGCATGTTACTGCGGGGCCCTGAACAGTGCTGATTTTTACACTGTTTTCAGCGGGGCTTGATGTAGTGGACTGTGCCCTACAAGAAAGTTACGCAACTGACGACGGTTGGCACCAATGCACTATGGGCCACATAATTATAGACTCTTACGAAACCAAGCGGCTGTGGGCATCGCCCCTAGGATATGCTCAGGCGCGCTATGAGTGCACTGAACCAGTTCAAGCTCCATTGAAAATAGTGTAAAATCAACCAAATTCGGAGCCCCATGGCAGGCAACTGAAGTCCCTGAGGTCTCTCAAACAAAAAACAATGTGTTGTTTGGTCCTCCAGATTTCATTTGATTTTCAATTTTTAGTAGATTAACCAATGAATTTTTTAATAACCCGCCCAAAACAAACTCACCCCCCAAAAAGTGAATGTTGCCAAGCCCTCCCAGCGGCCATTTTTCAAATGACATCCCTCACCTTCCCGGGGCTCTTCTGACTAATTTTCAATCCCATTTTTGCATATGCAGCAAGGTATGAGACGGAGAGAA